CTCTTCGACCTGTTTGTTTCCTCTCCACCTATCCTCTCCTCTATCCCTCTTCTATCCGCCTCCCACTCTCTCCCTATTTATTTCAAAACCCCCTTCCCCTCCCCCTTTTCTGATGAAGGGTCTAGGCCCGAAACGTCAGCCTCTCTGCTCCTATGATGCTGCTTGGCCTGCTGTGTTCATCCAGCCCTGCACCTTGTTGCCACGTACTGGTGTAGTCTCTGGTGAAAAAATCTGAGTCTCAATCTAAAGTCTAGTAAGAAAATGTTTACGTTTGCACAGGCCCTACCAAAATTTGAGGAAAGGGACGTGGAGGTGTTCTTCATTTAATTTGAGAAAATGGCGAGACAGTTGAGTTGGGCAAAAAAAGACTGGAACAAATACGAAAAATGCCAGAGAAACTCAGCAGGTCTGGCAGCATCTGGAGAGAGAGAAACAGAGTTAACACTTCAAGTCGAGTATGACTCTTCTTCAGAATCTTTATTGCACCACTAATGCAGAATAATTTGACATGTAAAGCACGGAATTATGTGCTGTCAGAGGGAATTTCAAGGGATTAGGACACTATAAAAAAAACTATAGTTACTGCATGAGGTAGTGCCTGAGGCATATAAGCAAAGGTTCCTGAATATAAGGAAACAGCCAGGCAAACCTATATCGAATTTGAAAGTATTAAGCAAAACAATTTTGACAGGTGGACGTGAGTGTTGGAAGCTGAAGCCACACGTGCAGCTCTTAGAGTCATAGTGTCATACAGCATGGAAACAGAATCTTGGGTCCAACCAGTCCATGCCAACCGTAATCCCAAACTAAACCAATCCCACCTGCTTGCGCTTGGCCCATATCCCTCCAAACATTTCTTATTCATGTAATTATCTAAATGTCTTTTAAATGCTGTAACTTATCTGAATCCACCACTTCCTATGGAAATTCATTCCACACATAAATCACTGTCTGTGTAAATAAAAATTGCCCCTCATGTCAATCTTTCTCCTCTCACCCTAAAAATATGTCTCCCATCTTTAATTCCCACACCCTAGGGAAAAGATACCTGCCATTCACCTTATCCATACCCATCATGATTTTATAAACCTCTATAAGGTCACCTCTCAAACTCCTACACTCCAGTGAAAAAAGTCCTAGCCTATCCAGCCTCTCCTTATAACTCAAAACCTCCATTCCCAGCAAAATCCTGATAAATCTCTTCTGAACCCTCTCCAGCTTAGTAATATCCTTCATATAACAGAGTGGCCAGAACTGGACACTACTCTAGAAGAGGCCTCACCAACATCTTGTACGACCGCAAAATAACGTCCTACACACAAAGATCTGGCCTGCTGAATGCCTTCTTAACCACCCTATCTATATGCAACACAAACTTCACAAAATTATATACCTGAACCCCTAGGTCTCTCTGTTCTACAGCTCTATGCAAGGCCGCACTTTTAATTGTATAAGTCCTTCCCTTGTTTGTTTTACGAAAATGCAATACCTCACATTTATCCAAATTAAACTCCATCTAGCACTCTTCAGCCTGTTGATGCAATTGATCAAGATTTTTTTGTAATGTTAGCTAATCTTCTTCACTGTCCACTATACCACCAAAGTTGGTCGTAAAGAAATTGTTCTCAGCGGAAATTAAAAACTCACTACCTTATGTAATAGGAACCCATATTGTATCATTCTCCGCCACCTGCAATCTGACCCCACAACCAAGGATATATTTCCGTCCCCACCCCTATCTGCCTTCTGTAGGGACCACTCTCTCCATGACTCCCTCGTCCGCTCCACACTCCCCACTAGCCTCACAACCCCGGCACTTTTCCCTGCAACCACAGGAAGTGCTACACCTGCCCCTATACCTCCCCTCTCACCACCATCCAAGGACCCAAAATACCTTCTACATCAGACAGATGTTCACCTACACATCCGCTAATGTGGTCTACTGCATCCGCTGCTCCCGATGTGGCCTCCTCTACATCGGTGAGACCAAGCAAAGGCTTGGAGACCGCTTTATAGAGCTTTTGTGCTCTGCTCATGACAAACGACAACACCTTCCAGTCGCAAACTACTTCAATTCCCCCTCCCACTCCCTGGATGTCATGTCCATCCTGGGCCTCCTCCAGTGTCACAACGATGCCACCTGGAAACTGGAGGAGTAGCACCTCATATTCTGCCTTGGGAGCCTACAACCCAATGGCCTCAATGTGGACTTTACTAGTTTCAAAATCTCCCCACCCCCGGCCTCATCCCATGGCCAACCCTCCCTCTCATCCCCGCCTCCTTGACCTGTCCGTCTTCTTTCCCACCTATCCCCTCCTCCCACCTCACTGACCAAACCCCACCACTGCCTACCTGCTCTCACCTATCACCATCCCACCTACCTTCCCCAGCCCCATTTCAGAGCCCCCTTCCCCCTCCCCATTTCTGAAGAAGGGCCCCGACCTGAAATGTCAGCTTTTCTGCTCCTCTGAAGCTGCCTGGCCTGCTGTGTTCCTTCAGGTCCACACTGTGTTATCTCTGACTCCAGCATCGGCAGTTCTTAATATCTCTTATTGGAATCACACAAGCTTTCGGAGTGCAGCCCCTTCATCAGGTGCAGTGAGAGAGTAGAGCACATGGACACAGAGTTGATAGGCAGAAAGAACAAGGGCAGAGAGATCAAAAGATCATACAACTGGTGTGAGTGAAGTGTCAGATGATAAGTCTCTGGAGGTGACCAAGAGTGTTAGACGCTGTGTAAAGTGTTTATAAGTCAATGTCAGTGCTATACTGTCATAACAATCAGGCAAAGCCACAGGAATTTACAAAAGGTGACATCTCAGGTCAGACACTGAATTATAGGTGTGAGCCTTTTTTCTGAATCTGTCTCAGAGTTTAAAT